CCCTATTCTGATCCAAAAGAAGGATATCATTAGCAAAAAAGCATACACCAAGGAACATCCTCTTGTAAATGTTCAATAAGGGCATCCATAACTAAGGCAAAAAGATATGGGCTAAAAGTCGATCCCAGATGTAATGAAACAAAAAAATCATGATACTTGATCAATCTTCCTTCTGTTTGAACATAAGTAAAAGCTTTAGTATACATATCTTTAATGAATTGATATCAACACCTTTCTTTTCTAGAACTCTCCAAAAAACTTCTCTTGAAACCTTACTGTACGTTTTTTCTAAATCGCTAAAAATCTTATGTAGATCATCCTTTCTCTGTACTTCTTCATCAAACCTCTCAACAAATATATAGCTTCCATAGTAAATTTGCCCGGCATAGATTCAAACCGATTAGAAGAAATCCTTGTATCATGCCTTAACCTATGTTCAAATACCCACTTCGATAATTTTAAAGTATGACACATTAACTTAATTCCTCTATAATTTGAACTCTAGAGCATCGCCTTTATTCTTAAATATGAGGATCTAAGAGCTCTACCTCCAATCCTAGGGCATCTTTTTTAGTCTTTAAAATAATGTAAAAGAGTTTAGTAAGCCAAGAAGCTCCCAAATCTCATAGATATATCCACACTTCATTTTGGATATCATCACATCCTATTATATTTCCACACTTCACATGAAACATTAATAACATTAGAGTTAAATTCTATCATAATAAATCAAATTCCTCACTCTAATAAATCAAGCGGAAAAAAAAAAGCAATCACTTAAACCAGAAAAGGGACTCACCTGATCAATAACAGCATCTGTTATCAAATCCCCTGCCACCTCCTTCGACTCTGTAACCACCACCAAGTCCTCAGCTACCCACTTTCTCCCAGAAGGAGTTGTTGTCATCACTGTGGCAAATCTCTGGAGATCCCTGCTTTCCTTGTGCATAGACTTCGCCATCTTCTTTCTTGCAACCGCAAGGATAACATGGTCCATGGCATCCTCGTTCATCACAACCTCAAAAGTGATTGTATCCTTCTTGTTGAACAGCAGATCCGTCAGCCTTGCAATCAAATCATGTCGACTCTGCAGCTCCATGATAGCAAGTAGACCCTGGCAGAACCTCCGTCCACTCGCATAGAACTTGAACACGTCCTGCCCCTCCTTGAGAAGTAGGGGAGCGTCCTCCTTGCCGTCACCGGTCCCCAAGAGACTAAAATTCTTGACAAAGATCGAGTCCTTAGTTGCGAACTGGGAAGCCCAGCAGAGCGCGATCAACTCGTTCTGTCGTTTTCCGATAAAGAAATTTACAGCGAATGCAATGAGAAAACTGATACACACGATTTCGATCGTGTATGAGCTCAAGGAGAAAGGCTGATGCGGGGTCGGCAAGCGGGTGTCAGCTACAGCTTCAGTATATGCAGACGGCTCCGAGGGCGGTACCGGCGAATCACGGCTTGGATCAGCGATTTGAAAGGGAACACCCTCAAACTCTTCGTCGTCCCAGAATTCGAGGGCGGAAGAGGCATGTGGTTTTCCGCCATGTTCGATGCCGACGGCAGGGGAATCTTCGACTGCAGATGGTGGTGTGAGGACGTGGTGGGATTCGGCTTCCGAGGATTGGGTTAGGGTGGTAGCGGAAGGAGAGGCTGGATTGAGAGTCTGGGAATGGATAGCGTCGTTGGTGTCTTCATCGTATTCGAATTCGTCAGTGTCGAATCCCTCGAAATCGGCGGCGAGAACATAATTACGAGAGAGTTCGTTGGTAACGAGGCAGATGACAGAGATGATGGCAAAGAGAAAGAGTAAGCCGTCCCTACGAGAAAAGAGATAGGCCGGCCGTGCCGGCGACCAGCGGCTCGAGCTCAGTTTCCCCATCGCAAGCGCGGAATTGAGAGAGAGAGAGAGAAAGAGAGACTCGCAGCCAGATTAAGGAATCCAAAGAGGGAGAAAATGGAAAATTTACAAACTAATTATATAAATAAAATTAAGAACCACAATAAGGAAAATTTACATTTTAAATATATAAAATAGATTATAAGCCACAATAAGGCTATCTAAAACTACCAAGATAGTTCAAACGTCCATTAGGACCTCAGGAACTATTACATCACCCTTAAAACTCTTGGATCCTATAAACTTAATATTTAATTCAAAGCCTTAAGACCCATCCTTAGAGCCAATTCATGTTGATACAAAAAAATGTGAATAAATACAACTTGAAATCAACAAACATAGCACAATACCCTAAAAATAAAATTGGAACCTTAATATAAATGAACAAATTTTAATTAAACACTCAAGAAAATTATATTTAAAATTAATAAAAGTTTTAATGACCTCTAAGCAAGGTCAAATTTTCTTGAGATATTCTCTACTTTGTTAATTTTCTTACAAGGAATTTAATTAAAGTAGGAGGCTTTTAAAATTTATAAAGGGTCGTTTAAATTTTAATACTAGAGAAAAAATATTTGATTATTCCATTTACATGAAGATTTGCCCATATTCATTCAAGAATACCCTTGAGGTTAGCCTTGATCTTTATATAACCAACTCTAGGATTTGGACTAAAATAATTTAAAAATCACATAGTTCTTAATTTTTTTATTTAAAAAACTCATTAATTAACATTAAAAAATATAATAAATCAAATTAAATAAATAGTTTATCAAATATTTTTCTACAAAACCTTGAAGATAATAGAATAAAAAAATTAGATCACCAAAAATTTAGCATAAAAATAATATTTTGATTTTTAATAGAAAATTAATTTAATAATTCATAGAAAATAAATATGTTGTATAATTAACCTCAAATTTTAAAGGAACATAATGGAGGTATCCCTTTACTTATGTGATGTTTCAAAAATTTTGGGGTCAATTTTGATTTAATATGAAAATAGTTCAAGAAAATGTAGATTAATTAAAATTAATCTATAAAAATTTTTGGAACCTTCTTTGGTCATCCTTGACTTTTGGGAATATTATTTAATTTTAAAAGCATGTTTTTATTAATTAAGATTTTGTTAAAAAATTAATAATTAATAGTAAATTCAAAATATTTATGAATATCATCAAATTCTTATGAGATGTTCGGAGATCATCTCTGATCACAAGAATTAATTTCATAAAATTTAAAGTTTTTTTATATTAATATAAAATAAAAATTAAATTAAATTAAGTAATTTGATAAGCTTAAATAAATTTATAAACAAACTAAATGCAAAAAAGCTTACCTTCATGTGTCTCTCTTCACCTCTTTGGGTGAGGTGTATATTTTAATGTTCTAGGCTTCCATAACTGATGAGATTCATCATTTAAATGAACATTGTATAATACCAATATTTTTTAACATCTTTAAATCAGCATGAACATCAAATCTAAAAATTAAATAAAATTATCAAATTACTAATCACTTAAACTAAAATTATTCATTGGGTAAACTTGAAATTTAAATCCCTAATTAAAATTTTTAACTTTAAAAGTTCTGGTAGAGGCTGACACATTGATTGAAACATTCCAACCTTACTTGATATGACACTAACCTTAAATTCTAGGTTAGAGTTATTTATCTTATTCAGATATTTATTGTTATATTACACTATGACATGCTACCATGTTATGATATAAGAAAATATTATTACAATATTAATATAATAGCTTGGGATAAATACATGTTGTCGAATATCAACAACCAATTTGTTGAAGTTGTAGTAAGCCTGGTTTTCTCTTTGCTTATAAGAAAATGTAATTAAACATAAGAAATTTATTTAATGATGTGTGGATTTATTCATAAAATAACGTGATTAAATATATAAAAAATTAAGCTGATGGATTAATTAGTACAAACTAGGAGAACAAAGCCTTATGATGCTTTGAATACATAGAGGATAATTCTTGAAGATCCCAAAGATTTGATGAAAAATTATTATGTAGATTTAGGATGTAATGCATAAGGCATGAGCAAAGTGCAATTGACCATGTAAATGCTATTTTTTTTTTTTTAGAATAGATATAACATTGAGAATGTCATATCATCTTAAAAGATGAATATATCACTATAAAATGGATCTAAAGGCAAGATAATGATTGTAATTCCTTAGGTCAACATCATCATACATTTTTCTCTAATATAAATTGGGCAAGGTAGTTTTTTTTTACTTTTAATTTGGGGTGCATGTTCCCTGTAGAGGCAAGGCTTTATAGTTAATTACATTTTAAGGAAGGTCATCTTCTAAAAAATAACTAATAAAAGTAGTTTCTCCTATTCATATACATTTCAAAATTTTAGGCTTTTAAAGATATTTATTTTATAATTTAAATAGATTTGGCTAAAAATTAGAATAGTTTTTATTGAAGGATAAAGGAGAAAGGGAGGAATGCACTGAATATTGAGTTGATTTATAGCTTTAGAATATCTCATGATTAGACTTTGAAATTTTTACTTATGTCATGGTTTGATAAAACGAGTAAACTCTTCTGCACTAAGGTGAGGGCTACTATCAAGATAGAGGAATCAAAACTATTTGTAAAGGTATACAATGTGAATTATACATATTTTAAACCCACTCAAGAATCAAATATGTTAGTTCTATTGTACTTACAAGCCTGCTAATGCAAGGTAACTGACTAACCCATATAATCTTTCAATGAAATGAGGTTTGATAAGATATATAAGAGGAATGGTAAAGTGATTGCTTCACTATTTGAACAGAATGAGATTTGTACTTTGACCCGATAAGTTAAGCTTTCTGCTATGAAAGGTGTGAAGTACACTTATGTGATGCATTAAATGTTATTTTTATTTTATCTAATTGATTTTAATGTTATTTTTATCAATAATTTATGTTATATAATTTCAAAGTCATACCAAGGTAAATTTTTCAAAAAAAAGAAATCCAAACAATCTGACACTCATCTTCAAAGGTCAGAGGTCAAATATCCCATTATGTGCATGGGAAGAGTGTAAATAAAATGAAGCAATAATATGCATGTGCATATGATTAGTTTATTTATGGATCACCTGGGGTGGAACTGTAACAGATGTAGAGACCTGTGGTTGGCCTTGTTGTTGAAATCATTGCCTTTTGTTCTTAGTCCTCTGACCCTTTCTACTCAACTTACGAACAAGAATCACCTCAATGGTACCCAAAGCAAAAGATGTCGGGGAGCTGTTGGGTCAATAGTGGGTGAGCTCGTAGGAAGTACTATAACACTATTAGAATTTTTAGACAGTCCCTCTCCATATGAACAATAATTTGAAAAAATATGGAGGGAACACTAGAAAGTCTAATGAAAACAAACTATTGTTGTGGCACACGATATTTAGTGTTGACCTCATCTTGCACAAAGAGTGGTACTGACTTGTGCGGCAGCTGATGCAGGTGGATTTAGCATGTTAATTTTGTAAATATTTTTCATTATTAAAAAATACACACGGCATATACAATAGCAAATAAATAAATTAATCCCAACAAAATAACTTCAATTAAATTAGTTTTATCTTTTAAAAATCTTTAAACTATTAAATCCCCTTTAAAAATAACGCAAGTATACGTATCGCTTAAGTAATAAACGAATCTAATGGCGTCCTAGATATCGATCCTAGCATATGAATAAATCCTTAAGATTATAATGTAAAGTGCAATTTTAAAAATACAAAAAGTAAAGTGTGAAGTTTGAATACTTAGTAACAGGTGAATGTTAATTAAAATGCACTTGAAAGACAAAGTTAACTAATATAAATGCTAAACCTTCATGACTAAATTTACGAAAATTAAAACTAAGATGTTGTGACGGAAAGTTCAAATTGAAGAAAGCATCCTTCCCCTTTACAATGAGTATATGGATTGTGAAGAAATTAAAATCTTTTTAAAAAATATATATAAATTTTTTGTGCTAAATAGGAGAAATACTAATCTTTACCCTTATCTGAGTGTATAAAGAACATTCTGTTCGAGTGTTGGGTCCCTATTTCTGGGTTTGGGCTGGGAGGATCCCGGCTGCCACTCTAGAGCTCCCACTACTCCCTCCCCTGAGGGCTAGCAATGTCGCATAAGTTTCCAATCAACTGGACCAAATTAGGGATTTTAATCTATCAACTTAAAATCTCCAATTCTGCATCCAACAAAGTATATTTCTCTATTTATTTCCACCTAACTTCATGGATGAAATACTTTCCCATGAAATCAACTGTGATTTTCCCATGTTGTAGAAATCATTTGTAGAAAGGAACATATGTTTTTCAACACATTTTAACATTTCAATTGGCTAGATCAAAAAGTAAATAAAGATCGGAGTTCAAATCATCATAAATTATTGACATTTAAAACTATATAAAACAAAATCAATTCTTCACAAAACCATATCTCAAAGTATGGAGAAGGATAAAGAAGACTACTCAGAATTCATGAGAATGATACGATAAAACACGGATTTCATATATAAAAATAAGTTTACAAAATAAAAGAAATAAAGGACACAACTTATCTTACAATCCTTTCTAAGTAAACTCCTAGAAGTTCTCTCCAATCCTTTCTCTCTTTACAAGCACTCTCAATTTTCTCTTAGAAGTGAAATGAAGAAAAATCTCTCACCTTCTCTCTCCTCTTACAATTCTTGAAGAAAATCTCTAAGCCCTTGACTATCTCTCTCTCTAACTCTCTTTCTTGCCTTCACACCACACACACCTTTTTATCAAAGGCTGCCTCCCTCCAAAAATAATTCAAAATTCTCTCCAAAATTATGTTCAAAGTCAACATTTTTTAATTCAAAAGACATGTCCATTGATCCAAGTGACATATCCCTTCATAAAAGAACCTTCCAAAGTGTCTAGATGCATTGAATTACTCCAATGGGTGTTTAAAACAAATGTTCCATTGAAAACTTGCCCAAAATTTGTCCCGAGCAGCTTTAATCCTCAAAAAGTCATCTCTGG